TTGAGGAATTACAGAAGAAAATTGGATCACAAAGCCCTTCTCATTCATGTTAACCATAAAGAGCTCCATTGCAGGCGCTTTCACGAAATAATCAGAGAGCAGTTGGATTTAGAGAAGATTTAGTTTGTAGATTTCATTCTGAGTGGGAGGAAAAGAAACACATTTCACCAAATTATAACATTAGAAAAAGCTTTAAGGGGACAAATACACAAGGTTCAGAACTTAAACTGTCTTTAAGATATTACAAAGTATGCATGATTTTTAACTAGACTTCTAAATTCAAGATTCAAGGCTTTGTTGTCATGTGCACATTAGCTACAGTGTAGATATGGCAATGATAGGCTCCTCCAACAGTGCAACATGAATATATATATATAGGACTAAGAACGGGTAAAATAGTGCAAGAGAATTTGTTGAGATGAAGAAGACTCTATATACAAGTCAATGGAATATGATATATTAGATAAATAAAACAAACAGATGAAAATTATTGACATATTGTTTCCTTTCTTAAAAGTTGCCTCAAACAATTCACACTACTCTTTTTCAGCTTTTTGCATCAACCAGGGAGATGCAAATTCCTCCACTGATTGCACATCATTTAGGGGTGACGGTATTGCATCGGCCTCCAAACTAAATATGCACCGCTGGAGCCCAGGACGTAGCGTTTACTGGGCGCATTAGTGCATAGATCGGGGGCATTTGATGGAACCACCGCGCTTCACTGAGGAATCACACAAAGATGGGATTTAATGGCCCTTCGATTGAGCGATTTTGAAAAGCCAACCTCTGACCCCCAGCTCCGACCCCTTGCAACCCCTCCCATCCTCCAGGGTCCAGTGCTTGTCATTGGTCATTTGTCAAACTCCTCGCACTGATCTGATTACCGTCCAATTTGGGATCTGCCGACTACACACTTCTAGGATCAAGAAAAGCTGCTTTCAGCAACTTTACATGACAACAAATAGCTGGATTGTTGCGGCGAGAGTAAAGAGACAAGTTTCTGTTCTATTCAGGCGATAGAGACGGACAAAACTTAAGCTGGCTGCCAACCTTGGTATCTACTGATGTTGAAACAGTCTAATGAGGAACAGAGAGGAATAGTGTTTACTCCATAGATGTATAACACACTATAGTCATATGTCATGCTGTTTCATAGGTAAACACAAAGAAACCTCATAATCCAAAAGGTCCAGAGGAAAAAGGTTTCCTTTGTAAACTTTTTTGTTGTGCACGTTCAATGAGCAACTTTCGTTGGACTGAGGGAATATGTTTCTCTGTAATACATCCAAGGCGAGGCTATCTGGGGAACTACTGGACGGACGAATGGCACGCTAGCCAAGAATATTCTAGTTCCAGTCATTTCCTCATAAGAATACTAGTAGAATAAAAGTGGTGTTGTTTCGATCTACCGTGTGGGACGGCATAACTTCTATTCTTTTTAGCTAATGTTAACTATGTTGTTCTGCAGAGAATTTGCAGACGAGGGGGGTAGAAAGGAGGAAAAGTCACTTGCTGAATAACTAGAGCATTGCAGACAGAGCTAAACTGCCTGACACATTCATGCATGCACACATATGCATGACTGCCTGCACTCACACATACTTTCACTCTCTATACACATGCACGTAGACACACACATGAGAACACACATTCATACAGAGCTTCAACCTGAGGATTTTGAACCCTATCTGCACGTGTATGCAGGCTATTAGCTGGTGAACTATTGTAGCTGGCAAGAATATACGAATAGCACACAAGCTAAGAATATTCCAGTTTTTTCCTGTCATTTCCTCGTTAGAATGTGTCCACATCCCTCCCCCCGATGTGTTGTGACCGGTAGAAGTTGTAACGTTTCGATCTGATGCGCATCAGTGAAAGGTCCCATCCAAGTGGACAGAAGATAAACACCCAGTAGATAAACGTCTCTACTGCAGTTGCTAACTATCAGCTAATGTTAGCTCTCAGTTCTCTTTCACTGTTTGACTTATGTCATCACAATCAAGATGGTTGGCAATGATTCAATAGATGGAATTTGAGTGGCAAAGTTTGTCAGAGTTGATTTGAAATCGACATGAATACAAGTCCACTGATTGCTTTCATGATTTCAAGTGAAAAACCACCTAAACTGGATGAGTATAAAACAAATATTTTGGTTTAAAAGAAATCCCAAATAACAGAAAAATAGAGAAGCAGTAGCAGACCTCCGCCAAGACCTTTTCTATGGAAGTAAAACTATTGCATGTGTGCCCTTTGAGATTCAGATCAGCTCCAAAATGTAATCGGCCTTTCCCTGGCTAATGCCACACCATGCCACTAAGTTTCATGACAATGGGGCCTGTAGTTGTTTTGTAATCATGCTGACAAACAAACAAACGTTTAAAAAAAGAACAGGAAACCTAACCTTCTTGGTGCGGGTAAATAATATTGAAACATATACCCTATATGACTCTGTATGCAACATGTAGTGTTTATAACTGTAGGCTATGGAGAGCATTGGTTTCATAGTAGAGTGTGTGTGACTGTCTGTCACTATAGATGTGTCCTTGCATGTCTGACTCCTCTGAAAGTCTTTTCCAAAGACCTGTCAGTCAACACTCGCCTTTTCCTGAGCTGCCCTGAAGGACTGTGCAAGATTCCCCCCCCCACACACACACACAAACACACACTCACACACAGAAACGCACCACCCCCCAAAACAAACCTCTGTCTGGCCATCACACACACACACATACTCACAATTAGCCCATAGCTCATTATGTCTGCCTTAGCTGCTTTGGATTGTGTTGTGGGGTGGGGGTTGGTGCAGGGTGGGGTTTGGTGACCCTGGAGAGCATGACCTAAGGGGAAATTCAGAGAGTTACGGTGGGGAGTGGCAGCGAGGACAGGGGGATGGGAGGGGGACATGCAGGGAAGTTGCTCACTCCTTGGTGCCCCTGCTGGCTGGGCTCACCCCTGTGAAGAGTCCCATTGATTTTCTAAGTGGAAACCCACTGATTAGTCATCACTACTGACTTGCATGAGCTCAGAACAATTGCTTTTGTATTGATAATGTGATGGGACACAGCTAAAAACAAACCTCATTATAATGTAAACAACTCAATGTTGTGTTTTGCACCCTGCAATTAATAACAATCGGTAAACAAATATTGTTTCCATCTGGAGGAAGTTGTTAGTTTTATTAATCGTTAACTTTAATATAAATGCACTGAATTGGAGGAGGAGAAGATGGTGTTCCCTCTTCATCCCCTCAATTGCTGAGGCTCAAGAGTTTCGATTTCCCTCCAAAAACTATTTTGTAAAACTTCTCCCTCGCCACTTTATACAAGCAACTCAGCAGCCGCCTCCACCCCCAGCCGCCACACATCAATCCATGGGGTGTGTGGGTGTGTGTTTTGAGATGCAGTGTGCTGTCAACCCCCCAGGGTGTAAAAGATTGTTGGACTAACATTGCAAGTTTGAAAAACAAACTCTTTGGTTTCAGTTTACTTAAGCCTCCGTTTTGAGGTCTCAAGCCAACTGATGCTAAAAAAAATACACAAAGGTTATTTGCAAATGTGTGATTCAAAGTAAATGTATCTAATGCACGTTGCTTAATGCACATCTGCAATTTGTTTTGTTGCAGGGTACAACATCTCCTAAAATCGTTTCATTCTTTGCATGATGTTTGGCATCTTCAAATCCTAGTTCCCTCTTTTAGATTCAACTCCTCCTTAACAATCCACATTTTGTTAGCTCCCTGTTTGTGCGCACATTCTGAATTAGATGAGTTATTCCACCCCCTCCCTTTGTCAGGAAGCTTAATCAGGGCTGCAGAGGTGTGTGGGTGACCTTTGACCCCTGGGTATCTCTGGGCTTTCTCTTACTTGCCTTTGGGCTAGCATCAGGATATCCCTCATTTAACGACCAGTGGTTTCGAGTTAAAGCATGCACACACACAAGGTCAGTTGTTCATTATAAATGATTACCAAACACTTTTAACCAATGATGGACTAAAGTGATTACAAGTTACACATTAAATAAACACAGGTTGCCTTTCTGTGCACTTTTTGGAGTATATTAGAGACAATTGTGAGATATTAAGGAGTACACTTGTGTAATGAACATTGAAATATGGAGATCTAAAGCTATTCATATTGAAAAACGTGTGAGAAAAAAAAATAGTTAGTTAGTTTTTTTAAGTTTTAATTTACAGATTAAAGTAAATGTACCCTGTTGGACTGACATTTCAAGTAAACTTTGATTTGTAAATGAAAAATATTCCACCAAAAAACACATCCTTAAAACTTCGTTCACTCCCATCAATGTTCCTTTTGAAAAAGTGAACTGTAACTTAAGGCACATAGAACATTTAATAACTTTTTACTTTGAATACATATGAGTAGGGAGGCTGTGGCTCAGTGGATAGTGTGATGGACTTCGAATCAGGGGATAGCAAGTTCGAGCCCCACTGCAGTCAGCATGTCGTTGTGTCCCGGGGCAAGACACTTCACCCCAAATTGCTCCTGTGGGGATTGTCCACAGTACTGAATGTATGTAAGTCTCTTTGGATAAAAACGTCTAACAAATGACATGTAATGTAATAAGTGTGCCCACTGTATGAGTACAAAGCAGCTTCGATTTGAGTTTGTGTCTGTGTTTTGGCACAAGAGTTAATTAAAGGGATGACTAAGTGAATGTAAAGATGGACGTTGTGATTGACAGGTGGGCATGTGTCCTTTCTTTGAGGTCGCAGTGTGACGGACGGTTAATTAGAGTTTCTTGGCAGGCGTTTTGTTTGTATTTTATATTACTAACTGAAAAAAAAGCAACATAAAAGATGTATTCTGACAGTATGACAATATAAGCACACTTCTGAATCCGATAATCAAAATGCAACGGCGACCTTCCCTTCATTAAGCTGGTTTATCAAATGAGGCGCAAATGGAAACAATAATTTCCTACATTTCCATTTTCTTTCAGTTGAGACTGTGAAACTATTCTTTTACTTTTGTGTACAGGTTGCATTCAGACCCACTTGAACAAGTCTATGAGCCTTTCCCCTTCCCAAAATGAGCAAACCCACCAAACAAAGGGCCACCATTGTGGGTAAACACAGCTTTTGTTTTACCCATTTGAACCTGAGGTTTCCCTTAACGCCACGGAGAGTGTGTTCACCCTTTTTCTCTTTTCAGACGCGTTGGCGCTGAATGGCGGAGACCACTGCCAAATGGGAAAACGACTACACAGGCAGAAAGAAAGACCAGAATCAATCAGGAAGTGGCTGCTTTTCAGCTGTGCCAGAGGAGCCGGGCAACTTCCTGGTGTTGTTGCCAAGGTGACTGGAGGCTACGCCAGCTGGTGCAGTGGGCATCAGTTTTGAAGGGGGGCAGAGGATGGCGGTTGGGATGTTGGACAGGAGGCGTGTGCAGAGAGCTCGTGAGTTTAAATGTAAGCAATGAGCCCTTCAAGCTGCATTCACATGCCCCATGCTCCACAATGTGGAGTTCCTGTTTTGTTTGAAATCTTTGCAAACAATCACCTAGTCTCTCCAATAACTCCCAGCTTCTGCTATGGCGTGTGTATGGCACATTATTTTGTTGGATAATTTAGTAAAACTGTATATCTTTGTATAACTTTTTCACCTAATGAACAAATGCTCTGATGGAAGTCAGACTTTCAAGTATTTTTTTTCCTGACTGAATACAGTAATAACCACATGAACTCAGAGCAAGAAAAGACGGGTACTGTAAAGACATTTACTAAGCCACATTTTAACATTACTGGTATAAACGTACACAGAGCAGTAATTTAAATAAAATTAAGTGACAAAGGTTATTATTATGCTCTTTGATGATTGTTCTGAGTAAAGCAAAGATACCAGCACATGTATTGCTCAAATGAGTCTTGCATGATTTTATCTGCTAAAAATTACTTTAGTACAATTGTCACTCAGAATTAAGACATATCACACACTTCATTTAGTTTCTAGTTCATAAGTTACACCTTGCCATACTAAAATAAATACTAACTTATGAGGGTGCTGAGTTGTTTCTATAATTGTATCCACCACATGTATCTCAATGAGGGAACACTTTTTATTTGACCCAGATATTTGTTTGTAATTGCTGATTTTGCCCACTTATCTTTTCTTATCATAATTAGATAAAGGCTACACAATTTGAGTATAAAGGGGAAAGTGATTGTATGTCATTTATTGAGCGCTGAGTAATTATTTGTGTCACTGATAACAGTTTCACATCTCTGAATCTAATCTTGCAGCAGTCAGTCTCTGGTCTAAAGCCCCACTTTAACAGATATTGGGGCTGGGTGTTCTGGGGGATCAGGGGACCGACTGGTGGAGATGGGTAAACACAGCTGGGGACACACTGCGCTGGTGGGTCTGCGGCTCAACGGCCCCCTTCACACATTTATCCGTGTGTTTGCTCAGGGGATGTGCCTTAATCTTCACACACTGATCTCTGCGCGGAGCCTTCCAGAGACCCAACCGGCCCAGATGAAAGTGACCCCGTCCACAGCCACAGCCCTGCTAATTCCTCCATGGCTAAACTTGAATGTTCTTCACTTTATAAAGGTTCATAAAGGTCATATATGGATCTGTGTGTGGGTGAATTTCTCTGTGGGTGGGATCTCCCTGATAATATATACAGAATGATTGATCATAATCTGCCCCATACAAATGAATAGACCATTGTCAGGAAGTGTCAGAGTTTAGGCAGAAATAAAATCATATCTGAGAGATAGAATATTCAATATGTTTGCAAATTATCTGTACTTACTGAGAATCACAACTTTAGTCAGAGTTAGCTGCTCTAAGTTGACTACACGTTGAGTGTATGTATGTGTCTATCTTTCTAATGAACTATCTAACTAACTACCTGTCTATCTGTCTACCTATCTGTCTGTCTGTCTGTCTGTCTATCTATCTATCTATTTATCTATCTATCTATCTATCTATGTTTAGATGAAACTCTGATTATAGACCGCCATCTGCCGGTGATTACTGTGTGTTGCGTTGCTTTCTGTTAAAGCCGTATTCTCTCTTTTTCTAGTTTATCACATCGTTAAATACAAATATTGTCATACAAAGCACTATCTCCGCATGTAAGGCTCAATCAATGACATTTAATTAATCGTATTAGGACTCAGTGTCTTATGAACACAAATATTCTGGTAGGCAGTGGTTTACTTTGAGAGAAAAACAACCCTTTCGGCTTCCGTCGACTTCGCGTAAGCGCTTGACGTCAGCATAACAACAACCTGTCATGACAGCTCGTATGGGAAAAAATATATCGATAAAGCTATCAAATCATATACAATCGGTTTTACCTGGATGTGAGATTGCTTCTACAAGGTAAGGAGTGTTAACCGCGATTCTCAGAGACAACCACTAACTCTGAAGTAGCATAGATAGAAGGGAAAAAGGCTGTGTAGCAAACAAGCTAACCTAGCATTAGGTTAGCATATTTCTCTTTTCTCAGGTTGCTTTGGGGCTATGATGTGAACGTAAGATAAATGCTAATATGCCTTTTTAGGCCCGTCATACATATATTCCAATCAGCTTGTGATTAATTGTGTCACTAAAGGTAATACAGCTGCGTAGGAAGAACGGTCCTCACTCGAAAAACGATTGTCGTATAATCGACAACATACCTCACTATGCTAACCAGCTAATATCTAGCTAAGCACCGATCTCTTCTTCGCTGTTAACTAAATTTAACGACATTGTCACTGTTTATATTATTGCTTCTGCAACACATGCATCCCTCTGTTAGTGGGCCAAACGTTAACCCTGCGTATTTGTTTACAACATCTTACTACCATTATGTAGCAGTGGTGTACCGTTACAGTGCAGCAGCCTTGCATTAAAGGCAGTGAGTCTTTAATATTTAGCTAGCTCTGCTTCTCATGTAGTCACCACGGACGTCCTTCACATGAATAGTTAATTCGCTGTCAGTCCAGCCACCTCGCTGTCATTTTTGTGTGCACAGTCAGCAAATTAGACAAATGCCTTTTTCTGGGTGGCATCAAAGACTGACTGCACCTAATTCTCCCCAAGACGCGCATTGCAGGTGCGTTGCAGTGAGTGTTACACACAACGTGAATGTTGACTTAGCTTCACGTGTATTGTGTGTCTCTCCTCTCAGTTTGTGAGACCCAGGAGATACAGGGCTTTCTTTAACTCATCAGCTAGCCAGCCGGAGACACGGGGAACAGGATAGGGAAGCAGGGCGAGGCGGGCCCCGCGGAGCCGGTGGAGAAGATGGCCGGCAGCCCGGAGAAGAGTTCAACCGCGCAGGAGCTGAAGGAGCAGGGGAACCGGCTATTCCTCTGCCGCAAGTACCAGGAGGCTGCTACGTGTTACAGCAAGGCTATTGTGAGTGTCATGCTAATGCTGGAATTATGTCTAAATAACTCAAACATATTAAAATGATATTGCCCTTGTCTAAAGTATCTAATTTTACAATATGTTCTTGTTTATGTGATTATATTTTACATGTATATAGACCTTTACTTGGTCACTTGCAACATTAAACTTATTGTATTTTATGTGTACATAGTTCACTTCTCGTGCATTACTTGCACATTGGTCTTGCAACATAATCTTGCACTATTTCTATTTCTACTCTGTTTCTTCTTGCACTATTTTTTGTTTCATGACCTATATATATTTAGTTGCATTGTTGGAGAAGCATGGGACTTAAGGTTGTCATTGCGATAACTACACTTTAGCTGCTGTGCCTATGACAATAAAGCCTTTGAATTTTGAATCTGACATTGCTATGATGTTAAAGTGCATGTGTATTTGTCTGGTTTCTCCCAGAACCGTAATCCATCGGTGGCAGTGTACTACACCAACAGGGCCCTGTGCCATGTGAAGCTGCAGCAGCATGACAAGGCTCTGGCTGACTGTAAGCATGCGCTGGAGCTGGACAGCCAGTCAGTGAAGGCTCACTTCTTCCTGGGCCAGTGTCACCTGGAGCTGGAGAACTACGACGAGGCCATCGGCAACCTGCAGAAAGGTCAGAGAAACTACAATAAGATGGTGAAACCGTTGTTTCATCATGTTTTGCGGTAGTGTGAAGAATCAGCTTGATCATGTAATGCACAGTGTTCCTCATGTATTTCCTTGTTTATACATAAGTCAACGTGTTTCTCTTTTAAAACTGGTTTAGTTACTTATATCAGTTATTGTACTCTGAGGAATGTTATGGGCACAGCAAAGCTTTGTCATTGTACAATAATAATAATACAGAATAAAAGATAAAACATTTTTTATTATACCTAACTTTTTGATGTGTTGTCAAAGGAACAAGAAATGAAGGAAATAAAAGTGAAAGAGAAACTTGAGTGGTAAACAGATGCTAATGTTCTAATGTTTCTACAGCTTATAACCTGGCAAAAGAACAGAGGCTGAATTTCGGAGATGACATTCCCAGCGCCTTGCGCATTGCGAAGAAGAAACGTTGGAATAACATCGAGGAGAAGCGCATCAACCAGGAGAACGAGCTACATGCCTATCTGACCAAACTCATAATCGCTGATAAAGAAAGGTGAGACAATTATCCAGCGTGCTGTGTGTCATAGTAATCTTTTGATGAAGATTGGTAATAAGGATTTCTAATAAACTTTTCTTCAGAGAACTTGAAGAATACAAAGAGAAACAGGACGATAACCAAAATGGAGGCGATATTGCCAAGATTTCAACAAAAAATGTACGTTCTATTTCTTACACTATATCAGTTTTCATGCTTTTAAATGAACATAGTAACAATTCCAATTGAATATTCATGAATATATTCGCTGTGGCCTACTTAGGACAAGTATCTAATGGACATGGAGGAGCTCTTCTCTCAAGTGGACGAGAAAAGAAAAGTGAGTATGGAACTATGAGCATGTAATAATTGTGTTCATTCATTCGGTCGCTTACCATGTCCACAGCATGCATTGGGCAAGAAGCAAAAACAAAAAAACATCTTTGAATAGGTCACCATCATCCATTACAGGTCTAACAAATAGACGCTGATCACATTCACCCACACAAATGCATCTCTGCTAACGGTAAACACCTACATCCCACCACCTTTGATCGTTGACATAGCAACAAGAGAAATAGACATGAGCACATTATGATGCCGCATTTCAGATTTGGTTTTTTTCTATCATAGGGACATTCTTTTTGCATTGCTCCTGTGTTGTGTACTCAAATGATCTGCTACCATTAGTGGTTGCGATTGCATCTGTGAAAAATAATTCACCTTTACTCCAGACAGTAATGTACTTTCCCTAGCCTGAGCTGTTTCTATGGTTACCATCACTATTTGTTTGCAAGGGCTTGTGGTGTTTAATTATCCTGGCTATGGATAGTTGCTGCCTGAACTGAAGGAGTTGTCATGTAATTGTCAGGAGAAAAGAGACCGCGCTGACTGACAACAGGGCGATTAGCTTCTTTGTGTTAGAAGGTGTGAAGGTTTACTAAACCCTGACGAAAGAAGTGTGTTATTCACTACCTTCATTTCACAACTTCATGATATCATTAGTGAGCTCACTGATGCTTTCATATCATATTTCCTTGGACTGGGGAAGTGTTTTCAGAGGATAGTGTTGGCAGCTCTTCTGATATTATATCCATATATCTCTTAGCGTCCCATCAGTGTGACTCTTGCTGCGTTTTGTCTTCCCTTCAGAAGCGGGAGATCCCAGATTACCTGTGTGGGAAGATCAGCTTTGAGCTGATGAGGGAACCCTGCATCACACCCAGTGGGATCACTTATGATCGCAAGGACATTGAAGAGCACCTACAGGTAAAACCTTCGTCAGCTGCATTATGTTTTAGGGTTTTCCGTCCGTCTGCCGTTATCTCAGAAAACATTTTGAAGAGATGTTCTTTAAAGGGGACCTATCATGCAAAATGCACTTTTGTACATCTTTTATACATGAATATGTGTCCCCGGTGTTCCAGGGAACTCACCAAGTGTCAGAAAATATATAATATAATATTATAGTACACAACCCTCTCTATTTTCCTCCATACCCAAATCTCTTAAAAAGGGGCTGCAACGGATCTGATACAGACTGATCCAGATTTGAACACTTCTATGACGTCACAAAAGTGGCGCTACGGCTATTGGGCCAACTCCACCAATCAGGAGGAGACAGCCACGGACATTGCCGTTGGAAAGCGCTGGAGACGCTGTAGTACATATGCCAGGCCTGTAGATGGTGCTGTTCTCACAGAATCAGCCCATGATGCAAAGACAGTGTTAAATTGAGCGAAATGAGGAATGGCTAAAATGCATGATCTGTTTGGTATTTTGAGAAATAAAAAGTATAAATATGCCTTATATAGGTATGGTCCTACACTATATTATTAGAATATAGCATGATAGTTCCACTTTAAATTTGGCAGAAATGTCCACTTAGGCTCCAGAATTAACTGATTTCCTTTTGGTAATCAAAGCTCAAGGTCACTGTGACCTCACACATCCATGTGCTTATGACAATTTCACACAAATGTCGCTGAGAATAAAACGATGAAGTGATGACACCCTTTCACACTGAAATGGCTGTAAACTGCAACTTGACGGGTTGCTGGAGGCAGACAACCACAAGGCGGTAGTTCAAGTTTATTTTATGACCACTGATTTAGTAATAAGTTCTAAAAGGGACAAATTCAATTTCAAGAGGGGAATTCAGACCACACATTTTCAGAAGAGGCCTCTGTACACATTTGTAAACATTTTTTTTTTAAAAGCACTTTGAGCTACACCTCTTGTCTGAAAAGATCTCTATAAATGTAGATGTGTGACTTGTGTGACTAAAATTAAATGACACATTTTGTTGTAGATGTGCCCAAAAACGGTCTTATTTGCATGAATTAGCTATACAACCTAGCAGTAGCTAACACTAGCGTATAACCTGCTCTCTGTGCAGCGGGTGGGTCACTTCGACCCGGTCACCAGGAGCCCCCTGACCCAGGACCAGCTGATCCCAAACCTGGCCATGAAGGAGGTGATCGATGCCTTTATCCAGGAGAACGGCTGGGTGGAGGACTACTAAAGGGACCCCCCCACCACCACCATCCCCTCCCATCTCTCAATCCATACTCCCCATTCTCAACACAAAGCCTGGACAACACCAGACTATAGAAGACAGATACACCCCCCCTGGATTATGTACTTTTACACAAGAGGGAAACACCACATTATGGACTACCAGATGGGAGCCATGTATCTCGGTCTGCCTCTTACCCCCCCCCCACATTTGATCTTTGCTGTAAAACTCCCCGCTCATACTTTCTGAGGCTCTGCTGCTCCCTTTAAGACCCCCCCATCTCATTCTGCTCTTTCTTTACCTTCTCTCCTCCTTCCTCTTCCTTCTCTCCTCCTTCCTCTTCCCTTCTGTCATGCTGTATTTCTCCAGCCTGACTCCCTTCTTTTCTCTCAAAAAGGGGCCACACTCTCAGGTCTCTCTCTCTCTCTCGCTCCATCCCTCTCTCTTTCTCTGAGTGCCACAATCCTTGGAAAGCATCAGCATTTGCACTCCAGTGTTTCACACACACCACCAATATTAATATATTACGTATGGTGGACATTAAGACATAGGCCTTGTATTTGGCGTTTACTTTAGTTTTTCATATACATTGGAGCATTTGCCCACTTCTTAATGTACATTTGTTAAAGTGGGACCTGAAATGCCAAAATCCTTTTCTCCATGAAGGTGTATGCAAGTTTCACATGATGAGAATTGAAAACTAGTCATGTAGGGAATCAAGTCTCTTCTCCACCTGCAGGTGGCGCTCCAAACATGCCTACTCATGTCTCCATGTAAGACTCTTAAGAGGATGGTTAGTTTTTGTTCTTAGCATATCAATCACACCCCATTACAGACAATTTAAATACGTTGAATGTATGCATAATGTACTCTTTAGGTTTAGGCTTGACCTACAGTAATTCAAAGTGTTTTTTATCGGGACGATACATGAAGGATTTCATGAAAAGCGGCCTTGAAATGGATGCTGAAAACCAACGGAGATGACCGCTGTATAAAAAAAAAAAAAGTTTTCAAATTGCTGGATATTAATTGAAAATGTTTGAATATTGATAGATGACATTAGCTGTGGAAAACCATGCTTCGGAGGACGGTCTGTGCTGTGTGTGTTGTTCATAGAAACAAAAAATTGTGCTTGGACGTTGTGTTTGGCTCGTGCTGTTTGCCTGGAATGACCGTGGACGCTCACATCAAGCATGACGTGATTTTTTTATTTTCCTTTGCAAAGGCAAGAGGACGGTTTTCATTGGTCTCACCGTTTTGCTGTTCGTGTTATTTCTCATGGTTGCAACATCTTCTGTAAACCAATCACCAGTGTGGGACAAAGTTGTGTGTTGTTGAAGGGATTTGAGGTTTGCTAGTATCGATGTAACAACGTCCGTGTTTAAAATGCTGGAAGAGCTCCGACCATCTTTTCTCATCCTTACCTCAGTCCAAGTTTTTCGGTGCTGGTTTCCTTTCTGTAAAACACATTTTCAGTTTACAGGTTATTTTCCCGCCGAATGTGCGTCCGTGGTGAATCCGGCCTGTCGTCCGTGGTTCATGTCGGGGTGCAGGTAGTGTAAATAATTTGCTTGTGTATCTCAGATTTTATTTCTTGACAAAATAGGGTTCTTTTTTCTTTTTTTTTTTTTCTTGAGAAATCCTAGCGCTTGAGAAACTGTATTAAATGTAGATATGTTGATAACATAAATGCCTGGTTCAGTTTTCATTTGCCCCCATTAAACCGTGAACTTTGAGTTGTTTTTTCTGACTCCGTACAGATACCACCATTTTGCTGCTACATAGAGTATTATTGCAGCTGTGCTACAAAGCAAAACATGATCAGCGACACAAGCCCTGCAATCAATACACATTTGGTGAAGTTAATATTAGTTTTTTGACTTGATCTCTATTTTGAGTATGTCACTTCTTGTAGACAAAATGTCCCTTTGTCTGTCTTTGAATCGACTTTAGTGTAGACGCAAGCATTTTTCTCATCTGTTTTTCCTGCCGGCAACTGTCTAGCCCCCTCATGTTACCTTTTTCTTCTCTGAAACAAACTTTATGATAGATCTTCATGAAAGCACACTTGACATTTGTATCAGAGCTGAACTGATTAATCATCCAGGCTGATTTGCAGATATTTCAGTATCAGTCTGATGCTAAATGTCATTGAATAAGTAAAAGAAAATAGGCTATTTTTTTCATGGTCAAAACAGTTTTTATTTCTTATCAGTCAAAACTTTAGAGCTTACAGAATGTATGTTTATTGGATCTAATTTTGTTAATTTGATATGACATTGAGTTTAACGAATGGTTATATTTAAAGCCAAGCATGCTCAAGAATAAGCCTCTCATGTCCTGGCTGTCAAATAGATGGAAATTATGTTTTTAACTGACTATTTCTTCAGTAGAAAGGCAGTGAATTATTCAGATTTAGCTGGAAGTTAATTTTTTGTTTTTTGATGATCACAAACCAAATGTCAATCCTTTTCATTTCAATTGGCAATCATCCCAGACAGATCTCAAAACACTGTCATTTAAAAGTAAAAAAGTATCTGCATAGTTGAAACGACTAACAAAAAGGGGAAAAACATGTCATAATGACCCTTTAAGATTTCACAATGACTACAACACCTGCAGAAATGTCTGCCACAGGTCCTCTATAAAACATTGTTCTCAGTGTGTGAGAACACTGTGTACGTCTACCATGTGATGTGGACACAAACACATATGTGAGGGTGTGTGTTTCAGTCACATGTAGACAGACACACAACCCTCACACACACCAGGCCTATTGTCAGAGTATCCGTCTGATGCTGATGTCACGGCCCGTGTCAGGAGGGAAGAGGACAGAGCATTTTGGAGCGGACTGAGTTAGCAACATCGAGACAACACAACAACATCAAGATGGTGAGAAAAGCTGTTTCCTTTTCATATAATTTGGTCTCTGGTGTGACGTTTGTGTTCAGGGATGAATAGGTCTTAATTCTGGATAATGTGTTTTGTTTCTTTTTTAAGATGGTCAACACTGTGAGGTTTGCTCTGGTTGTTGTTGGTGTCTTTGGATGGTCTATGATGCTCCCCTCTGCCACCCAAGGTATGAAATTAACAGGATGTCATTCAAAAAGACTTCACCTCTAGATGTATGCCACAGCCAGGCTCTGGGGACTAACGGCATACTTGTTGTAACACGATTTTGTAATTAGAATACAAACATTTTTTAACTGTATTCCCTAAAACTAATCAGATTACTGGTACACACATGTGGATTACTAGCAGAATCAAAATGTTACAAAACATGTAAAATAAAGAACCATATATTAAGAAGCATAGACATTGAAACACTAGACACTTAGTTGTTATTTTTTCTTTACATAATGCACTTAAGTTAAAGCTCTTCTCAGATTTTTTCAAATTCCATTTGATATTGAGTTTATCCAAAAGTAACAGAAATTAATCAGGTTACTTACAGTAGGTTACATTACTTTTAACTTGTTATTCTTAGATAAAGTCAGTGATACACTTTTTTTACAAGTAACTAGTAATTTTTCTAATTTATTTGTATTTGTTATCAAGGTTTGTCCATAAATGTACTTTGCTCAATAAACAACATTCATTCCATTACCGGAGATATAAAACAAAGAAACATGCCATGTTGAAGCTTTAAAACCGAAACCATTTGTTTTAAGTGAATACAAAGAAAGAAAGAAAATTGAGTCAGGAAAACTTGCCTACTTACAGTAAATGAATAATAATTATAAAAAACAACCAAATAATTATTAAAAGTATGTGTTTAAATAAAATTACAACATATATACATATTGGTAATTATAAGAGGGACTACATTAAAAAAAAATGAACATATTTACATTTTGATAATAGTTGATTGCAAAACTGTGATTTGTAAAGGGGGCCCTTGCTTCATAACAAAGTAAAAAATAAGTCTATATGAAGAGCCGAGCAGTGAGATAAACATGTGATATTTATAAGCCTAATTGTACTGGAATACATTTTTATAGTAACCCTCCCACCCTGACCATCTCTCTCTGTGTCTCACTGACTGTATCTTCCCTGTTTGTGTTGCCAGTGGGTCTGAGCAACAAAGTCCTGGTGTTCCCTTACGAGACCGACTTCAGCTTCGTGTCCCTGATCCCTCAGAAGGAGATGGGGCTGAGGGCCTTCACCCTCTGCATGCGGGTGGCCACGGAGCTGCCTGAGGACCGTCAGATCATCCTGTTCGCCTACCGCACCGCCGACTACGACGAGCTGAACGTGTGGCGTGAGAGCGACGGGCGCGTCTCCTTCTATATGAGCGGCGACGGCATCTTCTTCCACCTGCCGCACATCACCACCTTCCGCACCAGCCTCTGCCTCACCTGGGACTCTCGCACCGGCCTCTCTGCCTTCTGGGTGGATGGGAAACGCAGCACCTACCAGGTCTACAAACCCGGGCACAGCATCCGTCCCAAAGGCTCCATCCTCCTGGGGCAGGATCCAGACAAACACCTGGGGGGTCTGGAGGCCGGGCAGAGCTTCGTTGGCGAGATGGCGGATCTGAACATGTGGGACTTTGTGCTCTCCAGGAGCATGATCCAGGCCTGGCACTACGGACACAGGGTGCCCAAGGGAAACGTCTTCGACTGGGGCACCATGGAGTACGAGCTGAACGGGAACGTGATGGTGGTGGATGATGACTGACTGGACGTGGAGTCGGGGGCAGAGAGGAAACAGGCTTTAGAGATCTGTGTTGGACTGATACTGATGTGTGGTTTTCTTTCTTAGATTCAGTACTGTTTCATGTTAGAGCCCTTTAACTGAGCTTCCAAAAACACAACAACTCTCAGTTTAATTTGACATTAAGGAACGGTTGATCATTAATGGATTATTTGAAAGGCATATCCTACAAAAGACCAGGAGCCCGAAGTGTCCTCAAAAATAACCGCGATGATACATATAACGACCACAGAGAGACTGTTTAAACCGCTGCAAAGAGACACAAGGGACCAGGCAAAGGGACGCCCCAAAAGGGCAAAACAACCCTGTAAAAAAGAGACACAAACAACAACAACCATTGCAAAACAACTACAAACAGATGTAAAATGACTAAACACAGTGACAAAAAAACGACATAGAACCAAACACAGATGCAAAAAACAGGATGACTGCAAAGTGCACAGCCACAGACAAAAATAAATTAAAACGATCACAAAACAGACACAAAATAACAAAAAGGCTAAACAACTATAACTCGTGTGTCTGGCTCCTATGACGGAGAGGTGTTGGGGCCTTTTTCATGTCTGTGCCCAGGGGCCAATTCGTTCATCCCCCTCCCATGCGCTTGGTTAAGAACGTAGAAAGGAGTAGTGTTTCAGTATATTGACTGAGAAACCTCCTATGCAGTAATCTGTCATTATTTTAGACAACAAAATGCACTAGCCAAAAACAAAAACAAATATTTGAGGTGAATTTTTTATCAAAATGTACATCAGAGGACTTTTTCCAAACGGTACCTCAGTTTAAGATCCTTGTTTCAAAAGTTAGCATTTTATTTGTTTTTGTCTTCTTTGTGTCTCCAAGCTTCATCCTTTTTGAAAGACCAACCTCTAAATATGGAGCTTTAAATGTTGACGTGCCAGTTGCATCCATAGGGTGGCACTCTGCACTAGTTCACATCAAACAGAAACGTGTGTCAAGTGAAGCGTTATCATGCATCTGCTACTGTGATATAGTTATGAACCGAAGTCCACCAATTACTGATTACGATCTGCTGCTATAATGTCTTCAAAACTATTTTTCCAAAAACCTTTAATGTGTTTTTAATGGAAAACTAAAATGCCAAAAATACAGGTTCAATTCAAATCAAATCTTTTTTGGTCAGAATTGCAAATACAGTAATTAATCAAATGAAATCCCCAAACCGTCATGCATTCAGATAGTACAATTTAGTTTGTCCAATGATATTGATGAAAATAGGAAGTGGGTATTAAAACACTGAGATGCGTTATTTCTTAATGATTTACTGCACTCAGAGACAAATAGCAATTATCATGTTTAATATCCACCGCCGTAATGTTGCCTCCGGTTAGCGTATACTCACTCATGAATTTCACATGTTTCCACTGATGTAAGAACCCTTTTGGGTCTGAAATAAAACCTTGCCATGTGCATAACTAATAATGTTTGTAATTAAAGGGAATATTTCATCTTTGAACTCTTTCAGCTTCCTTTTCCTAATAATCTGTTTTTGGGACACCTTTTAAAGGAATAATAACTTGTTTACATAATTCGAACAAGGGACTTTTTATTTATTTAGGAAATGAAAGAAAAAACCTTTTCACTTATTCAGCTGTAGGAGAAAGGGACAAACTTCCACCAAGATAGAGAAATACCCAGTTTTCAATCAATCAATATTTACTGAGAAAGTATAAATTAAGTTTGACTTATCGGACAGTTTTCTAGGAATCATACTGACATGTTCATTGATTTTGAAATACTTGTGCTCCATTGATAACATTTCAATTTCTAGAAGACAATGCTTTTGCCCCCCTTGTTTCTATAGTATGTTCTCATGTCTCCAGTGTTAAACAGCAAAAATAAGGCGGACGGACGGTTACATGTAACTTGCAGAAATCAAATCATATGGAGCTGCTTCACTAACAAACCCCCTGAGAATAACCTCAAGGGCAGATCTTCTCCATCCAAGTGTAACACAGTAACCCTAAGTTCCAGTTTGCTGCTCCGCTCTTCCTCCTCCTCCTCCTCCTCCTCCTGCACAACCATGACCTCCTTGCAGAGATGAGGAAGAAGTTTCCAGCGTGCATGCAGGCTCCCTTGAGGGTGGGAAAGTGCTGCGTTGTGTTGTGTGTGTGTGTGTGTGTGTTTATTCTGACCGAATCACCCGTCGGCTCTCTCGCAGCAGCTAAATAAGGAGAAGGCAGGGCCAACGAGTTCTGACTGCGGGTCAGCAGCCAAATGTTCCACCTTCTTGGATGTTGCAATGCATCAATCGCGGTGCCCACTCACTGTGTGGTAACACCTTCGTGGACCATCTGCCCATGCCTGGCTTCTCAGCCCTCTGGTACGCACACAAATACACACACACACACGGTCAACACAAGGTCTGTTATTCCCCTATTTTTTCATCTCTGCCCAAGAGGGGTAATAATTAGGGATCTAACGATATATCGATTATCGCGGTAAATAAATGTCTCAATACCGTCGTGAGACTGACAAAATATGCCGCGATTTCTTATTTTTTTAATAATTTATTTTTTTATTTTTTTAAACCTTTATTCAACCAGATGGTCCCCTTGAGATCATCAATCTCTTTTTCAACATGAACATAAAACAACAGATAACAATAAAGGACATCGTATTTACAGGGCTACATACATACCTAGAGACATTGACAAGTACCAACAGTATATTTATATCTCGCCCTGTCAATAAGCCTCACCTTCTTGGCAAAAACTGTATTGTTTTTGAAGTGGTGGAGAGACAATGCACAGTTTCACCCACTGCTGTCACCCATGGCCGAAGCATATCTCTCTGTCCCAGCAACATCAGTACCAAGCAAGAGAGTTTTTTCCACAGCAGGGGATATTGTAAACACCCAAACATCCCAGCTTCTACCTGGAAATGTGGACATGCTCATATTCCTAAAAGATAACCTTGATGATGCTGAGTGAGTGAGTTAGAGGAGTTGAGTTACTTGAAAAACTAAAGTGAAACTTGATTTATTCTATTGCAGGGTCTGATTATTATATTGTTGACACTTTAAAACACTACTATCCTACTAAAATGAAGTACAAATCAGATTTATTATTTAATAAAGAAAAAAAAAAGAAAAAATTCACATATTTTTTCTTTATTTTTCAATAACCCGATAAATATCGTACCGTGGACTTTTTATCACGATATTATCGTACCGTGAGTTTTTGGTATCGTTAAAATTCCTCATACCCACACATATGCAAAAATTCCCACTTATTACCTTAATTAAAACATTTGTTTTGTTTTAGTAACTTTATTTTAAAACATCTCAAAATCTAATCTTCACATTTCTTGCACTGATCACAATACCTGCAAATACAATTTCACATTGTCTTTTAGCAGCACAAGCTTTTTATTTAAATGTTGGGGCCACACACTCCACTGTTTCTGCACTAGAGGAGACATCTTAATATCCTGATAACAATGTGCTTCTCCTTAAACAAATCATTTTGTGTCATAGCTTTTTTTTTGTTACCAACTCAACCTTTTTATTTCATGTTAGTATTTAGGGGCCACACACTGCTGTTTTCTGCACCAAAGCAATACTCATGGTGTGTAACAGAAGGACACAATAAGTGGCCGTGCGTCTCCACAGACTGGATAATTAATCCCTCTGTGTCTCTCCATGTATTATCCAGCTAAGCAAACAGTTGCAGGGCTGCTTGTCCTGCTCGCGGACAGTGTGTGCCTGTGAGATCTGCATATTGGCCCATGGTGGTTTAGGCTGTCTGAGGCGAGGCGGTGCTACTGACTGTATGTCCATGCGTGTGGAGCTGGTGAAAATGTTTCCACACGAGAGGAGATAGACGGCGAGAGGGAGCCCCTCGTGAGGCGGCGAGGGGAGACAGAAGGAGGGCCGTTCTGGATTCCTTCGAGCAACTCCAAATAGATTTCCAGGCAAAACATATTTGCATACGCAAGACAGTGCTACGAGCTATCTGTGAGCTGTGGCATGTGTGCATTGAGCAGATGGATAATTTTTTTAGAGTTTCTTGCATAAATATTCAGCCCATAAAATTAAGATCTTTTTCACGAAGCTCACAAAGACTCATCAGGGTCAAGTTGCTCTTGTTTGTCAGATTTAGTGCTTGATAGATAAAAGAAGATGATGTAAACGTGACAGAAGATCATGTTTTAAACATCAATTCCTGGGAAATAATGTTGTTACAATGCCAGTATTTGCATTCAGAGATTCTTTTGTTAAGCAAGACATTAATGTCAAAATGTCCCCTTAAAACTCCCCTTAAAAGTCAAGCTGTCAAATTGATTGAACGTTTGCTGGATGTTTTGTGCTCTCTTATGATGATCTTTGATCTGCTATGGGCACAAAAGGGATCAAAAGGGCTATCCCTGTTCAATTATATCTAGTATTGTTTAGCTGTAGCCTACCTTGTTTTTTGTCCCCATTTTATGGCAAATTGCACGACAACAATGTGATTCCAAAATCTTGGGCAGGGCCGGTTTTTGCCATAGGCGGTCGCCTAGGAAGCCAGATC